GAGTTGCAGCAATTCATGGGGGAAGGTGGAATTGTGACTCTTGGAGATAAAAAAGACAGGGATGTTTGGGATGAGGAGAGCAGAGCATAAGTTTGAGTAACAAGAAAGGGAGGTTTGAGTAAACTGATAAGAATGGTTTTACTATCTGTGAGTCTGGGTTTGGACCAGGGGTTGGGTGCTGAAGTGTAGTGGAAATCTGAGAGACTCTGTGAGGGTCAGAGATAAGCAAGGGGTATGATGAGGGGCTCAGCAGCATGGCAGAGAGAGAGAGAGAGAGAGAGAGAGACCTTGGCTCCTAAATCCAGAATGGCCCAGACTGAAGTCTACTGGCATTTAAAAAAGCACCTGGGGAAACACACCAGGGAGCTGCAGAAATACTTAGAACTGCCTATCCTTGGGCAAATACTGGGTGTTCTAGAAGGTACTTTGGTACCTGAGAGATACTTAGTGGATGTTATTTGAAGAATGAGTAGGAGGTGATGGCAGCGAAGGTGCTGGAGGAAGGTGAAAGAAATCAACACCAGTACATACACAAGTTAAGATTTGGGGAAAGAATCTTTGGGGCTCCAGGTGAAATGTGGGGGTGATGTGACCATTTGGAAGCTCCAGGCTCAGGCCTGATTTCTGAGTGATCTGCTTCCTCCCACTCTGCATGGGCCCAGGTTCCGGGAGGAGGACTACACTGTGCATGTGCGGCTGAATGACTACTTAGACATCATCTGCCCACATTACGAGGACGACTCTGTGGCAGATGCTGCCAGAGAGCGGTATACCCTGTACATGGTGGAGCACCAGGAGTATGTGGCGTGCCAACCCCAGTCCAAGGACCAGGTCCGTTGGAAGTGTAACCAGCCTGGTGCCAAGCACGGCCCAGAGAAGCTATCCGAGAAATTCCAGCGCTTTACACCTTTCACCTTAGGCAAGGAGTTCAAGGAAGGACACAGCTACTACTACATCTGTGAGTACATACGGGACAGGTCACAGAGCACTGGTGGCCTGGGTGCTTGCTTCATGGGGAGCCAAATTGCATAGAGTCCCCTCTTTTCCAAGTCTAAACTCGGTCTTCTCTCATGATGTGGAACAAGCTCAGGTGTCCTAGGCACTCTATTTGGCACATTGGTACAAAATTATTAAAACCCTCCTAGCCCCTGTCTTCAAGGAAGCTGGGAAGGAACCCATACAAATCATCAGGTCAATAGGAAGTGTGATGTGATAGACATGAACACAGGTACTTGGGAAAATGACTGAGTATGGAATGAGCCAGGCAGTGGCACATGGATGAAGGGAGAGTGACTGATTGTGGAGCTCCTGGGATGACAGGCATACAAGAAATAGCGGCGGGCTTGGAAAGTGGATAGGACAGATTTTTGGAGCCCATGTATTAGTAAGAGTCTAAACTTCCTCCTGAGGGTGGCAGAAACACACTGATGAATCCTGAGAGTTACAAGGTCCAGGCTCTGTGAAGGCTAGATCCAGGGCTCATTCTGTGGCTGAGTCTAGGCCAGCATGGAAGAAATGGGCCCAGGGAAAGGGAAGTTACACTGTGAATACTTCACCCAATTTGAGGCTGGGAGTCATGAGAGATGGAATGTGTGTATGGAAGGGACACTCTCCTCGTTCCTGTCACTGCCATTGCTAAAGTTGAGTGTTGTTCCAGAGGAGGAGAGGTGGGACTAAACATTGATCAGAAAGCAGGCAAAAACTGAAGGTAAACGTCAAGCTCAGGCTAGGCATGGTGGCTCACACCTATAATCCAGGCACTCAGGAGACTGAGTGAATTCAAGGGCAACCTGGGCTACAGACAAGGTTTCAGGTCAGAGTACACTACAGTGAGACTGTGCCTAAAAAACTGAACAAGCTGGACAGTGGTGGCACACACCTTTAACTTCAAAAAAAAAAAAAAAAAAAAAAAAAAAACAAGAAAACAAAAAAAAAGAAAAAAAAGAAAAAAAGAAAGAAAGAAAGAAAGAAAGCAAAGAAAATCGGCCTTATTTAGCATGCAGTGTAGAAGCAAGATGGAAGGCAAGAACTGACTCCCAATAATATGTGTGCCCTGTCTTTCACACATATGCTATGACACACCCTGAAGAGGAAGAAAAACTAAAAATAATAATAAAGGTTGGGTATGGTGTTGAGTGCTTTTATCCAGCACTCAGGAGACAGATGCAGGTAGATTTTTTTTATGAGTTTGATGCTAGCCTGTTCTACATAACAAGTCTTAGGGCAGCCAATGCTATATAGTGAAATCTTAAATAAATAATTAGTTAAAGTAGGCAGGGCACTGAGCAAGCAGACTCAAATTCGAACTCACGTCTTCTGCTAGCAAAGGCTCTTTCCTAACATCCTGTCTACTTATTTTACAGCCAAACCTATCCACCATCAGGAAAACCAGTGCTTGAAGTTGAAGGTGACTGTCAATGGCAAAATCAGTGAGTGTCAGGCCCTATGGATGCCTCCTTCTACCCGTGCCTCATGAGCGTGGTCTAGTAGTCTGGGATGGGGTGCGAGTTGCTTCTCTGCCTCCTGTTGCAATACCTGATCTACTTCTATTCTTATCTTTCAGCTCATAGTCCGCAGGCCCATGCCAATTCTCAGGAGAAGAGACTTCCAGCAGGTATGGGGCTAGAGTCCATGGGCCTGGGTCACAGGAATGGGTTTGCTAAAAGAAGCTGGGGGCTGGAAGTGGCTCCTTTGCCACACAGGGCTGGCTATGTCCTGTTTGGTTGGAGTCAGTGCAAATAGTGGCGCCTCTTCACTTGCCGGTCTTTACCTTCTCACTCTGCAGATGACCCGGAGGTTCAAGTTCTGCACAGCATCGGTCAGAGCGCTGCTCCCCGGCTCTTCCCGTTAGTCTGGGCTGTGCTGCTCCTGCCGCTGCTGCTCCTGCAAACTCAGTGAAGATGGATGCTTCACCTGCTTAAGGATTGGAACTGGGCTAAGGGTGGGGATAAGCACCCCAAAGCTCCGGCCCTGGGAATCACTCCCACTACATGCACAAGCTGCCACCCTGAAGCCTCAGAAGGTTCAGTATTAAGGGTTTTGACCCAAAGGAGTTCAACCAGCCTGACTGCCATTCCTGCCTCCACTTCAGAGGGATGGAGAAAGAAGTGAGGACAGTCCTTTCCCTGCCATTTCTACCTTCAAGCCAAAGAAACAAGCTGTGTAGTCTGGACCATTTAAGGGCCCAGCGGGAAATGAGCTGGAATGGCCTGAGGTCATGCAGTTGGACACTAAAGACACCTTTCCCCGAGGAAGCCATGATGTCCAGATGAACTCACTGAAGGAAGAGCTTGAGACAGCTTCCTGCGTGGGAGCCAGGTACAGGAGAAGCAGCATGCTTGGGCTGACCCAGCATCTCTGCAAGGTTTCCGCCTGCCGAGCTGCCAGAGAGGTTTGTAGCCAGGCACTGACTGCATCCTCCCCATCCTGCGGGCGGCATTCCCTGGAGCTGTGCCAATACGAGGACTATGCTGGTTTTAGCGTATAGCTGTAAGGGCAGTGCCCATGTGTACAGTCTGTGTAGAATGTAGCTTAAAGGGCAGGGCCCACATGTACAGTGTCTGTATATAAACATCTGTGTCTGCTCATTTCTACAACTGGGGTTTTTTATACAGTGTTGTTGGATTCATAATAAAGTAATGTTTTTGGTTTTTTGAACATGTGTTTCTGTCCCTCTATGTTGATTTATGACCATATAGTCCCTACTGTGTGTTAGGCTCAGTTCAACCCCAGAAGCAACTGGGGCTGGCATGGTGCACACCTATAATCCCAGCTACTCGCCAGATGATGGTGGCCCTTTCCTTTAATCGTAGTGCTCAGGAGGAAGAGGCAGGAGGATCTCTGTGAGTTCAAGGCCAGCCTGGTCTACAAATCGAGTTCCAGGACAGACTCCAAAGCTACATGGAGAAACTCTGTGTTGAAAGGCAAAAAAAAAAAATAGAGTGAGTGCTAACTGCTAACCTACTATATGTAAGCCCTGGGTTAAATTCTTAGCAGCACAGAGCATAAGCACCGGCATGGCGCGTGGTTCATGCCTGTAATCCCAGCATTCAGAAGGTTGAGCAAGAAGACTGCCAAAATTTCAATGCCAGTCTGGGTTATAGTGAGACCTTGCTCACAAATAACAAATAAGTAAATAACTAAAAGATGAAAATAAGTAAATGGCTAGGATCAAGGGGAAAAAAGATATAAGACACAACTTGGTCTTCATTTCTTTCTCTTTCTAAAAAGCATGGCTTCTTACCAGGCCAAAGGGAGGGAGGGTATTCCCTCCCCCGGGGTTCTGCAGGAGAATTCTCTGTAGTGGTCTGCTGGATTCCTTTCTGCACCCCTTTCTGTTAAGCTCCTCCCGTCCCACCCCTATCCCACTCTCCTCAGCCTCAAGCGCATGGCTTTGGCATACCACACAGGTACTCATGCTGTCTGGGTGAGTCAGGGAGCTGGATGCCAGATGAAGCATGTGCACAGCCCCACCAGCAGAGCTGCGTGGGAGGCTGGGAGGGAAAGTTCCCAGCAGCGAGTATGTTGGAACAGGGGGCCAGGGTAGGGTTGTCCATGGAGAGGACAGGTTGTGTAAGGGAGCACATCTGAAGGAAGATGGCAAGGCCTGGCAATTCCTGCTATTTAAGAGACAGGCTAAAAAGGTTTCAATAACCTGCAGGGAAACCTCCCAAGGTTCTGATAAGGTGTCATGAAGACTGGGTGGGATTAAATTTGGTGTTTGTCTTCTGGCATACAAGGGCATATAGGAACACAGAAGTTGAAGCTAGTGGTCTAGATGACCCAAGGGTAGGTAGAGTGTGAGGAGGGGCCATGTGGGGGACAAATGCATGGTCCTTATTAAAAACATTAAGAGCAATCCGAAGGGGAAGCTCAGGAACCAGGCCCGCACATAACTGCAAACCACCCCGTCAGCATGCAGCGTTGGTGTGGCAGGGGCCCCAGTTCCGGTGCAGTTCTGGCGGTGCAGTTCTGGCGAGGGCGGGTTCCGGCGCCGGTCCGCGGGGAGGGGCGGGGCTTCGCGGGCGCCAGCTCTGGGCCTAAAAAGCTAGTGCACAGCCCTGGGAGAGGGAACCGACTCCGGTGGGATGGAGGCGGGCGGCGTGGCAGACTCTTTCCTTTCCGGTGCTTGCGTGCTCTTCACCCTGGGCATGTTCTCCACTGGCCTGTGAGAGCGCGGATGAACTGGGCTGGGGAATAGGACCAGGAAATCAGGAAAGCAAAGTGGTCAGGAGACGTGGCTACAATTTCTAGCCAGAATGAAAGTGAATAGGGTTGGGTGATCTGGGGTGCTAGAGCGAGGCTGGCCCCTCGGCCTGAGCGGGGAGATCTGCTTGTCGTTCAGGGTGGGTAACAAGCCCTGAGGAATCTGCTACCCATTCCTAATAATTCCCTTTGGGTCCCCTTCCAGCTCGGACCTCAGGCACATGCAGAGGACACGGAGCGTGGACAGCATCCAGTTCCTGCCTTTTCTCACCACGGATGTCAAGTGAGAGTATTGTTGGCTGTGCTGGGAAAGGCTGAGGGAGGCACAAGAGGTCCCTGGGGACCCCCTGCCACATCCAGCCCCTTGGACGACCGTAATCCCCCTCCCCTCACAGTAACCTGGGCTGGCTGAGTTATGGAGTCTTGAAGGGAGATGGGACCCTCATCATCGTCAATACCGTGGGCGCTGTGCTTCAGACGCTTTATATCCTGGCATATCTGCACTACAGTCCTCAGAAGGTAGAGGCCCTCCCTTGTACCCACCTCTGCTGCTCGCTCACCCTGCCATGTTAGCAGACACTGTTTCCTGGAAGACTAGTAGGACGGCATTACTTCCTTTTCCTAGAAGGCCCTACTGGTTCTCTTTCCCATGTAGCCAGTCCTACAAAATACACACACAGCCACCCATTGTCCCCTTGCTCACAGGGCTGGTGGCTTACCTAGCCCAACAGTGTCAGGGTTATCCTATTCTCTCCAACAGGCTGGGGAGAAAAGGCTATACTGTCTCTGATAGTTCCTTTAGGGATCTATTCACTTTCATTCTGACTAGAAATTGTAGCCACGTCTCTTGACCACTTTGTTTTCCTGATTTCCTGGTCCTATTCCAGTGGCTAAGAATGGCCATTAGTTCTGCTTTCCCATCAATCACAAAAACATTCATTAGTCTCTTATTGTATGTGTGAGGCTCACGTGAAAAGATAATTTTCCCTTCCTTCAAGTAATTGGTGAGATAGAGTCTGGCATGAATGAAGGCTGAGATAAGAGTTGAGTTCCCCATTAAAGCATGGACGAAGACAGGATGAAGCAATCCCAGCAGAGAAATCAGTGCTCTGGTACAGATGCAAATAAGACACTTCTCCCTGCAGCATGCTGTGCTCCTGCAGACTGCAGCCCTGCTGGGGGTCCTGCTCCTGGGCTATGGCTACTTTTGGCTTCTGGTGCCAGACCTTGAAGCACGGCTTCAGCAGCTAGGTCTCTTCTGCAGTGTCTTTACCATCAGCATGTACCTCTCACCACTGGCAGACTTGGTGAGTGGGGGTGGCCACAAGGTAGGGGAAATCAGAAGGCTAGGCTCCCTTAGGAAGAAAGACCCAGCTCCTGGAAGGAGGCCAGGCGGTAGAGGTGGGTGAGTGAGATGCAGGAGAGAGCTGGGTCAAAGGTCAGAGGGCTTTGGGTAACCCCCCCACCCCAGGAAATTCTTAGGCTGGGGTTCAGGAATGGTCCTATGAACCTGAACCCGGAGTGCTTTTGCCACAGGCCAAGATCATTCAGACTAAATCAACCCAGCGTCTCTCCTTCTCACTCACCATCGCCACCCTCCTTTCCTCCACCTCTTGGTCCATCTATGGGTTTCGACTCAGAGACCCATACATCACGGTAAGATCCTGGATGGGACAAGGAGTCTACTAAGCAGAAACTAGTTCCTGTCTTAAAGAAGCTTTTTGATTGCAGGTGCCCAATCTTCCAGGAATCCTTACCAGCCTGATCCGCCTTGGGCTTTTCTGCAAGTATCCCCCAGAACATGACAGGAAATATCGCCTTCTGCAAACCTGACCACAGCCACCTTAGGGCCAATGTGATACCAAAGAGCTCCTGTTTTTGCTGGTCCTCCTGACCAATTCCACGGATGCAATAGGTTGTGAGAAAAAGGCTGATTTTGAAAATAGAGGGATCAAAGAAAGACTTTACATAAATCAGATGGGACCTATGAGATGAAATCAGTTTTTTAAGAAAGAGATTATCTTTTCTCATTCTGGAGGCTGAGGTGGTATCTTTAGAATGTGCCTTAAAATAAAGTCGTCTCCACCCTTGCTTGTAGGGTTTGTGCTTTCTTCATGATTCTCAACCTTTCTGGTGGGTCTAACGACTGGGTTTCTAGGATTGGCTCAGAAAAGTTATTTGAAAGAACTAGAAGTTACAAAGACCCAGAAGAACCTAAAAAGTAAATAACTTGAAAGTTTGGTATCCATACATCTTGCCCAGCCTTGTGTGGGATGTAATCCCAGCATTTAAAAGGTTGAGGCAGATTCTGGTGGTGGCTCATGCCTTTAATCCTAGCACTTGGGAGGGAGGCAGAGGCAGGCAGATCTCTGACTTAAGGCTAGCCTAGTCTACGGAGGAGTTCTAGGACAGTCACAAAGAAACTCCCGTTTGAACAAAACAAAACAAGTAAACTAAAAGGTTGAGGCAGGAGGGCAAGGTTGAGGGCAGCCTGGGCAATATTGCAAGTTGTAGGCCAAGTTGGACTACTTAGTAAAACCATCTAAACAAATAAACTAAACATGTTTGGGGAAGTAGCTCGGTTGAGGGCTTACATGTTTGAAGCCCAGTAGGTTTGATTCCCCAGCATCACATAATCTAGTCATGTTGGGTTAGCCTGTAACTAGAGATCAGAGGTAAAGAATCAAAATCATCCAAGTCCATATGTCTGTTTTCGAGACCAGTCTGGGATACATGAGGTCCAATTTAAAACAAAAAAGTCTGAAGAGACAGATTACCCGCAAAATGCAAAGCTAAAGCCTGGGAAGGTCGCTCTCCAGCCTCGCACTTGACTTCTGATATATAGAAACCCCAGTACCTTTCCTCCATACTCAAAACTAAACCAGGTTAGAAAATAAAACTTCACTTTAATAGGGAATGAGGATGTCCAGACAGGAATGGGTGAAAGTGTCAGAAGTGTAGCCCCCTGCGGGCTAAATCTGCTCGCGCCTCTAGGATCTGGCTCTGCAGCTCTCGGGCGGCGTCTTCGCAGTCGTGAAATGTGGCTACACGATAGCCCACAGTGCCCAGGGCATAGCAGCCAGCGGACACCAGCAGGTAGGCAGGCAGTGGCCATAGGACCTCCCGGCAGGGGAAAGGCAGTTCCAGGCCCAGAGCTCCCATGGTCAGGGCAGCCCAGGCAGAGCCCAAGAGCGCCAGTCCCCAAAGCCACTGGGTTAACTTCGTCATGGTCCCTGCAAGGAGAAAAATCAAGGCTAGCGATGCTTTCTACCATTACCCGCTCTGCACCTGAAACTCATTCCCAGCCACCACCCCCATCTTTTCACCTTTCCACTAAGCCCGCCACCTAAACGTACCTCTGAGCGTCGCGCTGACAAAGTCCACATCAGCGCCTGGAAGTCCTCTTCTATTCCCGCCCTTCCTCCGCATTACCTTCTGGGAACTGTAGTTCTCATGACAACTCTTGGGGAACTTCCGGCTGCGCTCAGGTCCAGGAAGGGTATGCAGACTGTGCTTCGAAAATTGCAGGCTAAACCCAGAGGAGTTATGCGCTGCTTTTTCTGGGGACTCAGATCTAGGCTGGCTGGATTTTGTGGAAAGTCTGAGGATACGACAAAACGTTGCAGTAAAATGGGAATGTAATATCGTCCCCCTTAAACTCAGTTCTCCAGCGCAGAACCCTACTCATTCAATTATTCCAGCATTCTTCCTAACACTGAAGATGAACGTGCCGCCTCACACCTGCTAGGCAAGTACTCTGAGCCCTTTATATTTTGAAACAGGATTTTACTAAGTACTCAGGATGATCTGGAACTCCAATACATACCCTGTCTGAAAGAAACAGGCTGGCACATACCTATACCTATGATTCCACAACTCAACAAAAGAAGAGGATTATTGCAAGCTATGATAATGGGTTGGCTTTAGAATTTCAATTTCAATAAAACAAGAGGAGAGGGGTTTTGTTGTTGTTGTTTTTTTTTTTTTTTTGGTTTTGTTTTGTTTTGGTTTTTTGGTTTGTGTTTTGTTTGGCTTTAAAGTTTTTTTTTTTTTTTTTTTTTTTTTTTTTTTTAAATGTGTGCCTGTGTGAGCATATGCTATGTACATCCGTGTGCCTACAGAGGCCAGAAGAGGATATCAGGTCCCCTGAGCTGCAGCTGCAGGCAGTTGGGAGCTGTGTGGCATCAGTATTAGGAGCCAAATTCAGATCCTTTGGAAGAGCCAGCAAGTGCACTTTACTGAGCCATCTTTCCAATCTGGGCTTGGTTTTGTGTTGTTTTGCTTTGCTGTGAGACAGAGTCTAATGTACTCTAGGCTGGCTGAGGGCTTGGCATGTAGCTGAGAATGACCCTGAACCCTTGACACTCCAGCTTCTGCTTTCCAAGTGCCAAGACTACAGGCGCGTGTCACCAGGCCCAGCGTGAAGCAATTCTGTTGGGCCCAAGGTAAGCAGAAGAATAACTGAAGGAATCAAGAAGTCCTGACTAAGCCAGGAAAGATGGTCCATACCTAAAATACCAGGACTCAGGAGGCAGGAGGACCACTCCAAGTTCAAGGCCAATGTGAGCTACTTAAGGAAGATCCTAACTTAAAAAAAAGTCTGGTCTGAGTGAATTGAAGGTCCACTTAGAGACCACAGAGTGAAAATAAAGGTTGAATGTGATGTTCAAAGGTCCACTGTTCAGAGCTTTGTGCCTGAATATGAAAATCTAGACAAAAAGTGATTCATAGGGCTGAACAGATAGCTCAGCAGTTAAGAGCACTGGCCACTCTTCCAGAGGACCCCCGTCCGCCGCTCTATTCAAAGCACCCACATGGTGCCCTCAGCAGTCTGTAGCTCCAGTCCCAGGGGTCTGCTGGCCTCTTAGAACACATGAAGCAAAACACCCATATATATTAAATAAAATAGAGACTGTTGAAGAGTATTCCTGTGCACTGTGTGAAGGTGTATCACTGTGATTGGTTTAATAAAAGCCGAAATGGCCAATAGCTAGGCAGGAGATGTAGCAGGGACTTCTAGATAGAGAGAGCTGTGGGAAGAAGAAAGGCGAGTCCACAGCTGGACACAGAAAGCAAGACACATAGGGAGAGAGGTAAAAGTCGCGAGCCATATGGCAACATGTAGACGAATAGAAATGGGTTAATTTAAATTATAAGAGCTAGTGGGAGAAGCCTAAGCAGCTATAGGCTGAGCTTCCATAATTAATAATAAGTCTCCATGTCATTTTTTGTGAGCTGGCAGCCCAAAGGAAAATCTGTCTACATATGGCAGCCAATGCGGGCCTCCAATATCCAAACATAGGGCCTCAGATAGCTAAGAAAAGTTCTGTGCAGAGAGCCACCTGTAGTTTCTAGTCCTACAGTTTCACGGGTTGGGCGGTGCTTAGTGGTATATCGAGGCACAATTACTGTTACTGCCTGTGGGCTTGAGCCAGCTGCCAGAGCCATGTGTTAAACCGAGCTTTAAAGATAGGTGACAGAGAATGCTACAAATGCTCAGTAAAGACAGATTCAGACAGAAAAAAACTTCTGAACAGGCTACAGGGGGTTTAAAACATGTTCATAGACTTTAAAATCAAATAAAATGGGTATAGACAGTCATAGAAAAACAGTTTATAAATAACAAGATAAATTCTTTAAAAACAAAATAATAGCCAGGCATTGGTGGCACACAGCTTTAATTCCAGAACTCAGGAGGTAGAGACAGGTGGGTCACTGAGTTCAAGCCCAGCCTGGTCTACAAAGTGAATTCCAGGACAGCCAGGGATACAAAGAGAAATCCTGTCTCAAAAAACCAAAACAAACAAATAAATAAATAAAGGATAGGCATGTGATGATGGAAAATACACAGTCTGGATCCTATATGGTGTCTTGTTAACTTTAAATATTGTTTATTGCTGATGAGCAAACAATAGCTGCTGAGAGACATTGGATTATAGAAACTACTAAATGAAACTGACCTATATATTTTTAAATGTCTTAACTTCAAAATGGAAGTAAAAAAATATGTTAGGGAAGAGGTTGTACCTGGGCGTTAGTGGTACACACCTTTAATCCCAGCACTGGAGAGGCAGAAGCAGGCTAATCTCTGTGAGTTCAAGACCATCCTGGTCTATAAGAGCTAGTTCCAGGACAGTCTCCAAAGCCACAGAGAAACCCTGTCTCTGGGGAAAAATAATAATAAAAATAATTAAAAAAAAAAAAAAGGTTGCGATTTTGTTTCCACAGGAAACAAAAGGCCAAGTCTGGTGTTGTTTTCACACACCTCTCTTTCCAGCACTTGGGAGAAGGAGCTCTGTGAGTTTAAGGCCAGCCTTGTCTACAGAGTGAGTTCAGGACAGTAAGAGCTGTTACACAGAGGAAACCCTGTCTTAAAAAGCAAAAAACAAAACAAAAAAAGATATTGCACCTTTAAAAATGTAGTTTTAATCTTTGAAAGCTATTTAGGATAATAAAGAAATGCAGATTAGTAGTTAATCATCTATAACCAATTTATAGTCATGTTAGGTATATTTCCAAGGTCATACAAAGGTATATTTTAGATAGGTGATCTTCAAACATTTCAAAGACCTACAGAATGTGGCATTTAAAATGTTTTAATAACATCAAGCTTTTTATGACAGTGAGACATGTCTGCTCCTGGCAACACCAATATACTTCAAAAAAAAAAAGGGTGTTGCAAATCTAAGAACCTCCATATGGAGTTTGCTTTTTTTTATGGCAAAAGATAACCACTTAGCAAAGAAATTACCCTTGCCTCCACTCCTGACAGTATGCTGTCCAAATTGGATAAGCAGGACACAAAGCAACATGCCTGCCAAACTTTGCGAAGGCAAGCTAGGATTCTCCTTTAAAATTCCTGCTTTACAGAAAAGTCTGTCAGATATCATAGGCCTGTAGACCAAAGATGGATTCACCAACATTGTGGAAGAACCTTGGGTGACTGTCCAGCCAGGCAGCTGTTTCTGTCATTTCTATAGATTTGGAAGTTGTTTGCTTTGCAATTCCTGTTTATTCAAGTAATATTTCATCCTTTTTGGGTCTCTGATGGAGATTGAAGGCTAGATAGTCATAGTTTTATGGTTTTCCTT